GGGCTAAATTGTTCAGGGAATCTCTTACATCCAAATGCATTAAAACCTTTGAATCATTTAAAAATATATCCCCAAATAATAGATTATATACTATATTTCATGTTAACATATAGTATAATCTATGAACCACATCTTTATATGATTATATCTTATATTACTTAGCTTATATTATGCTTTATTTTATAGGTACATAGGCGAACACATAATGGAAACTAACTTAAAGCTAGCATTAGAGTCCACGAACTAAGGAAACATGAATAGGACAACTCCGAGACAGCTCAAGAACATTTTGGGACAAAGTTGCCAGCTACCCTCCGAGCTCTTAGCTGACCTGAGCTGGACTTTTGAGCTAGCTAGAGACCTCATTTCAGCTGTAAAGTTACACCATCATCACCACCACACAGAGTACTTCAAATATGGTCTAGGTTAATTTTTGTGGATTCGTACCTTTTCGCTAATAGTTTCCATTCCAAGAGGTGCCTTTTCACAAGGAGCTCTCCTGAGACTCACCTTCGTGTCATTCATCTATGGCCAGCTCATCTTCAACTCATACACATGGGAAGTAGCTCAATTGATAAAAGGTTACCTTACACAAAGTGACCTTTCATGACAAGTTGCTGCCCAATTGATGCCATGTCACCTAGACGTATGATGGATACCAAGTCACGCCTACATTGCTACATTTCTTCATTCCATGGATGAGCCTACACCTTAAGCATCGTATGAACCCCATGTGAGTGCCTCATGACCAGCCGACCCATGTGCCATGCGTATGGAACTATTTAGGCACCAAAGTGAAGGGGCTTCTCTCTATTCAGCCAAAGCAAGGTGTTGCTTCAAGTTGGCACCAAGATGAACTATAAGGAAACCATTCGGCCAAAGGGACATCTTCATTCAACTAAGCAACATTTATTTTCAATTTAACTCATGTATTTTGCCAAAAAGACATGTAATTATTCGGCTAAACCCTTGCAAGCCTATAAATAGGCTTTGGCATTTCATTTGTAACTCAACCCTTTGATAATATAAACTCTTTGTGGGATTATTCTCTCTTCAAGTTCTTTAAGAACTATATCGATTAAGCAAGCTTTCTATGTTTGTGGCGTCAACCCTTTCCATAGATACTTTGAGTTCCTAGTTCTTATAACTATAGGTTCAAGTCCTTACATACCATCCCTTATTTAAGTTTATAAAGAACGAGGTTAAACTTTCTATAGTTTTGCTTCCTCTTTGGCTTAATTAAGATACTATATGACCATCACCATATTACATCACCTTCACACCTATATCATCACCATTACATTTCCATTTCTTCATCATTGAATTATCCTTAATTCATCAACAAGGCATACGTCCAGCAACATCATTTAGAGGCCGAATTCATCATCCCTTGAAGGATACTTCTACAACATTTCTGTAGCCTACCTTTGATAATATTTCTTTCCATTTCATTTCTTATCAATTCTTTCATAATTTCTTATTTCCATTTAATTATTTCTTTCTTTATATTGTGCATAATACTTATAATTCAAGTGTAGCATTTTGGCGTCTCTCCTAAATCGGGAAACAACAAGGCTGCCAACTTCTCCATCATTGAAGAAGCTTGGATAACCCTACATCACTTACTCAAGATTGAATTTCAACTTCACAACGAAGGATATCCAATTCAAAGCCAATTTGGTGAAGCAATACAACTCGAGATTGGATTTCAACTTCACAACAAAGGATATCCAACTCAAAGCTAATTTAGTTAAGTAATACAACTCGAGATTGGATTTCAACTTCACAACGAAATATATCAACTTCATGAACAACTTGATACAAAATATATAGTTTAGAGGGCAATAATGTATTTAAACCAAAATTGCATAATATTTTATGTAAATAATAATAGAAATAAAATTCACATTTCTTATAAAATTATTAGCATCATTTTAAAACTAATATACACCTTAATTTAAAATTTTAGACTCACATTATATAATAAAGGCTTAATATCCAAATAAGTGTCCAAACTATATTTTTTTCGAATAGGTGCCTACAACATTTTTTAGATCATCCAAGTGTCTAACTTTACAAACGTTACCACTTTAGGTGCCCATGACGTAACAACTGTTAGTTTTCTCCATTAAGTGACACATGTCACAATTTGGTAATTTTGAAATTTATTTTTTAAAATATTAAAAATATTATTATATTTATAAAAACCCTAATTTCTTTGAAATTATAAAAAACCTCAAAATCCCAAAAATCCTAACACTAACTCACTGCCGTCGCCCTTTCCGGCCACTAACTGGACCAAAACCCCTATGAAATCTTGATTGATCAATGACTGATCGACGGTGAATCGACATTTTATATCTTGCGAACCTTAGGATGAAAATCATGATCCCACACGATTCTGATGGTCAATCGACTACAACTAGGGCAACATATAACTAGGATGATTGTAGGGACTACGTCGGAGGAGGTGGTCATGTTTTGAAAAGACGCTGATAGCGGGTTAATGTTAGGATTTGAGGATTTTATAGATTTTGAGGTGTTTTTGTAATTTAAAAGAAATTGGAGTTTTTTAATTTAAAAAAATAAATTTCAAAATTATCATATTGTGACACATCTCACTTAACAGAGACAACTAACGGTTGTTATGTCCTGGCTACCTACGTAGTAATGTTTGTAACGTTGGGCACCTGGATGGTCAAAAAATATTGTAGATACCTATTCAGGGAAAAAGGTATAGTTTATGCACTTATTTGGGTATGAATGCTATAATAAGTTGTAATAGTTAGAGCATTAATTAACTCAAACAAAAACATGAACAATATTAAGGTTGTAAAATCAGGTAATCGTTCAGGTTTCAGTCGGATTCTGTCAGGTCAGGTCAAATCAGATACAGGTTGAGTCATGTTAATTTAATAGTTCAACTCGCATCAGTTCAGGTCCAAGTCAAATCAGTTTGGGTCATTTTTAGGTTGATTTTACATCAGATTCAGCTCAAGTTCATATTAAGTTAATTTTAGTTTAGATCAATGTCAGTTCAGGTTCGAAGCAGTTAAACACCAGGTTAATTCAGGTTCGGATAGACTTCAATTGGATCTCGTTCAAATCGGGTCATATCATTGACAAACAAAATTCAGGTCGGATCTTACCAGATACGGATTGACTTCAAGTCGGGTCATTTTTGGGTTAATTATTTTTCGTCTTCCAATGTCTCATGAACGTGAGAACGTCGAATTGTAATTTGTAATTGTATATGGTTTAGATTAAATTACAAAAAATATAAATAACTATGAGTCAATTTTGATAAAAATATAATTTGAAGTACTAAATTTAAAAACATGAGATTAGAAACAAAAATTTAAATAAATTAAACAACACGCATGGATAAGGGATCAAATTGAATTAATTATAAAATGTAATTAATTATTTAAATCGAATTAATTAATTATATATATATATATATATATATACACCCACACATGAACCAATTTACTTCAATGATTAAAGGAATTGTTGTTGTTCCTAGAGGTTGTGAGTTCGAGCACCAATGACTGTAGCGGTGATTGAGAGTTCATTGTCAAATGGTTGAGAGTGTGTAGCACAAATATTACTTATAATATTAAGTGGCAAAGAATAATGACAATTGGAACAAATCCCTACCAAGGGTCCAAATTGATTTGATTTTGTTCACCAAGTTTAGTGCCATGTTACCTTAAAAGATAGAGCTATTTAATGCTCATCGTTTCCAAGTCAAAAAAAGCTTCCCCCGTGATCAATAAAGTGGCGACAAAGCATGGTAAAATTCTAAGGTTTACCTTTGTATCATGTTGGGCTTGTAATTTGGGTCAAAATTTTTTTTATAATGAATTTCATTTATTGAGTCCTAATATATGTAAATGGACTTATATGTAATATAAATGAGTTTTTATTATTTTTGGACTTGAATAAAAATAGGGTATATTTATTTATAACATGGGTAATATATATATATAGATATGAAATATGAAAATGGTATATGGTATATGGTATATACTAATATATAATTTACATTAATTCCATCACCCGGATAAAATGAGTGATAACAAGAGCATAATTTTTAACATAAATTTGTTTAGTTGATTTTATTGTAATTTTAGTGTATTAAAGTGTAATAAATTTTATTTATTCATTTATAAATTATTAGTTTTAGTATTTGTTATATTATTCAAAATTTCAATATCAAATAAATTCATCTTATATATATATATTAAAAATTTTAAGTTAAATTATATTTATATTATTAATCAATTTTTACATAAAAATAAAATAGACTTATAAATATCTTAACTAATTTTATATAATCTAATAAAATCATGATCAAGAACTATTATATAATAAAATTAATTTAATAATTATAATTAAAATTTATAAATATAAGGATTATAATTAATATAGAAAGTAAATTTATTAATTTAGTTGTTATAACTAACAATTTATTTTAAATTTAAAAAAGTAATCATATTAATTTAATTATCACAAATTTATCATAAATTTAAAATCTCATAATTATACAAATTGCAATTTATTACTTTCAAGTTAGGTAAATATCAAGTCATGTAAATATCATATCAGTACAATAACAAATTAGATCAGTACAATAACAAATCAGATCATTTGAGTCAATTACATATCAAGTTTATAACATGTCAGGTTAATAATATGTCGGATAATACTAGTTATTTACTAGGTTAATATCGAGTTCGAGTTCAAGTTCATATCGACCAGATATAGGTTGAGTTCAGTTCAATTCGGGTTCATGTCGTTCTCAGATCAAGCGCATATCAAATTCAAATCCACAATTTTCAGGTCTAATTCGGGTTTAGATCAATATCATTTTAAACTCAAATCGATTTTAGATATCTCTATCTCAGTCAAACAACCTTTGACTTAATTCACTTAATTCGGTTTGGTTAAGTTATATACAAACCCAAACAACATTCATTAACAGACTCAAATATTAGGTTAATTTGTCTAGTTAACACTTTGATTCAAAACTCAAGATCCAATATCCTTGAATCGCGATCTCTGCAACGAATCAGACCAAACCCAGATCAGTCTTGTCTAGGTAGCCATACTATTCCTCTCTTCAAAACAGCTGTCAACGCCATGCGGTGGCCGGCGGTGAAAAATGGGGGACTGGGGTTGACGGCGATGGCATACGTGGCGATAGACTACCTACGCATTCTATCCCCAACGTTGCACGAACGTCTTCAACCGTTGCTCTGGTCTTCGCTAGCCCTCGTTGCCGTCACGCGCGTCCCCTCTTATCGTCACTGGAACGCCGAGTTTCGAGCCGCCATCACGTTCCTTGCTTCGATGATATTCATGCTCTCAGCTCTTCTCTTTGAAACTCTCGATGTTCGTTTTGTTACTGCTGTTCTGGGCCTCGACTGGCACAAGTAAGAATTGGAATATATAACTAGATTTTAAATCACCAAGAAAACGATGTGATTTTCTCTGATTTCTGTATTTCTTTGCTTTCTACTATGTGGGTTTTTTTTTTGGAGGGTGTGGGTCATTTTTAGTTTCTTACATATAATTATTTGGTGCATTTTAGGAAAGCTGTTTGGATCATAATAGTAGACTTGCAATGAGAATCTCTAATGCTAATCGTGGAAAAAATATGATTGGCACAAATAATAAATGCTAAGTGTTAAGAGCGATCTACTTTGCTCCAGGCGTTTCAGGCTTGGATTTTGTTTCTTGCCTTTTTTTAATCTGTCAACTTACAATCTGGGTTTGGAGAAGCATTTTCCAATCTATCTTTAGCTTTAATTGGATGACATTTATTATTGATCTTACTTGATTTTCATGTCACTTTGTCAATGATTTTTCGTAGATTTCTTTCCAAAATGATTGCAATCTTTACTTGGCTGTAATAAACAGAGCTATAGGTGCAAAACCAAGATTGCCTTACGTCACAGCATCCATTACTGTTTTCTTACACCATTTGATGACTTCTATTTAAGAGTGTTTTAGACCAAACGAATGATAAAATAGACAGAAGGATTAAGTAGGGAAGAAAGTTATTTATTGATATTTCTGACTCTGTTTCTGTCAATAGGAACATGCAGCATAGTATGAAATCAGGAAATTCAAAGTTGGTTCCATTCATAGTCACATGGATCGCGGTACGCTCCGGTACGGGAACATGGAACGAGATCACAATTCGCTAGGTCCCTAAAATTCGGTACGAGAAGGGGTAGACTCATTTCGGATCGCTCCGGTACAATGTACCATATAAATTGGTACGATGTACCAGTTTCTTAGGTTGCTATTTTTCTACATCAAATTTTATAAGTAACTATAAATAGTAGGAATAAAATAAAAGAAATTAAAACTTAACTGAAATAACACATAAAAAATGAGGATTTAAACAGCTATTTACTTTAACCAAAAACACAGAAATGGGAAAAAGTCAAAACGATTGCGTTTTTTTTAAAACAAATTTTAGAGTCCATTTTATTCAAGACCAAACCTGTTCATATTACAAAATCAATACCTATTTACAAGATAAATCCAATAAAAAATGTTCATAACAAGAGTTTCTCAAGATAGCCCATTTATAGTCCAATATACTTGAATTTCAAAAATTAAAAAATTGGTCTTCTTTGCCTTGTTTCTGCCACGGGTTTTGGCAGTTAAATGAGGGGTGATTTTCCCGATATATCACAGGTGACCGGTAATATTATCGATCTAACACCGGTCAGATTATATTTCCCGATCTAACACCCTTAGCAGTAAAGTGCGCCCACTGCACCGCGCTATACGATGATTTGGCGCAACGTGGGGTATAGCGCGCCCCCTGCACCGCGCTATACGGTGAGCTGGCGTCACGTGGGTATAGCGCGGCCCCTTCAGCGCGCTATACCTGTATATCTGACACGTGGGGTATAGCGCGGTGCAGGGGGCGCGCTATACCCCTAACTACCGACCCCTCCTCCCTATAAATACCCCCATTCTCAATCAATTTTATCACACCAAATTCTCTCAAATTCTCTAAATTTCTCTCAAATACTCTCTTTTTAAGGTATATTTTATAATATTTTTACTATTATATTTGTACTTTATTTAATATTTTACTAATATAATTCTTTTGCAGATATATAATGGAAGGCAGTCTAGTTCGCTCGGATGGAAATCATATATCTCTACACTTTGCTGATGCGATAACATTTTAATGTTTTAATTTAATTTAAATTATTAGCAATATTTAGTTATTTATTTAATGCATGATTATTATTAATTAAATATCTCGACACTTTGCTGATACGGTAACATTTTAACGTTTTAATTTAATTTAAATTATTATTAATAATTAGTTGATTCATTTAATGCATGATTATTAGATTTAGAATTAATTTTTGTAATTATTTATTTTTAGGAGAAGGACCGTGTATTAGATCCTTTTATTAGAAATCTTAAGTTAGTGATACCCAATTGTGTCTTGTCGTATTTAGTAGAGGCTGGATTCGGTTACATAGGTAGATATCAGGGTCACTGTAAGATAGAGCCAGACCTGATTTCTGCCTTAGTAGAGCGGTGGAGGCCGGAGTCCCACACATTCCATCTTCCGTGCGGAGAGTGCACGATCACGCTTGAGGATGTTTCTATGCACCTGGGGCTTCCGGTGGATGGAGATGTGATATCGGGGATAGCTTCCGGTTCTTGGACTGGTTTGTGTTGGGATAGTCTAGGACGTGTCCCGGAAAATTTTATCGGAGGTAGGATACTGTTAAATTGGTTAGACGCAAATTTTCGGGAGTTGAGCGTAGACGCCTATGAGGATGAGGTTAAGATGTATGCACAGGCATGCATACTGCAGCTGATAGGAGGGTTGTTGATGCCGGACAAATCGCGCAACCTAGTTCACTGCATGTGGTTGCGACATCTTAGCGACTTTCGTCTCGCCGGATCATTCAGTTGGGGCTCGGCAGTTTTGGCTTTGCTGTACAGGGAGATGTGTGGAGCCACTGACTACAGGCGTAATGCTATCGGCGGATGTCTTCTGCTGCTGCAGTCTTGGGCATGGTATCGATTGCCCTTTTTATGTCCCGTTGTGAAGAACCCATTCGTATTTCCATTACTTCTGAGGTAATTATAAAACTGATTTTGTATATTAATAATTTTATACAGCGTATAACAAATTTTTTTTCTTGAATAGGTGGTCTACTGATAGGAAAAATCATCAGGAGCTACCTGATGATTTAGAAAAGATTAGGGTGCTAATCGATCAGAAGGCTGGCACACAAGTATGAATTTTAATGTTTAAAAATTGATTTTAGATTATAGTTATATAATTAGATTATTATTTTGATAAAAATTATATATTATTTGTTTTAGTTTGAATGGTGCCATATTCTACTGATGATGTGAGGGCGGTGATCCCACCTGAGTTGAGGGGCCATTAGATGTTTGGATGGAAATGGTCCCTCTGATCTGTTATGCGACCGTCGAGATGCACTCCACTGATCGCGTGCTCTGGCAGTTTGGTTGTTTTCAACCAATTTCGGAAGTACCTCGCAATATGGATGAGTTACATAGCTTAGATAGACGCGGCAAGACAGATACAGATTGGCTGGTGAGGCATCATGAGTGGGTCGTGTTGTGGGAGGATCGACATCGGCGCCTTCCACGTAGAGAGCCTATTTTTACTGACTTCTTGATGTATGCTGAGGATTATTATGAGTGGTTCAACAGTAACGGGAAACCGTTTCTACTTCCCGAGGATGCACGAGGGCAGACCTTTCCACGACGTCGACAGAGACGTTCACCGACACAGCACCATCGTCCCCCGACTCGTGGACAGAGAGCAGGTGCTTCCGGTTCATCCTCAACTCCACCAGCATGACCTTCCCAGCAGCCACCGCAGCCATATATGATGTTGCAGCCATATATGATGCCGTCATCGCCTTTCCATTACCAGATGTCGTCGCCACCGCCTTCACCTGGTTTTATGACCCCGCCACCGCCACCGTCACAGATGACCCATCCTGGAGTCTATTATGGGTCTATGTTTGCAAACCTGACTTGGGTTTCATATGTTGGATATTTGGCGGGTTCAGCCTTATCACCCATGGCCGCAGCACAAACACCGCCTCCTGTACAGTTTTCACACTCAGCGATGTCTGGGTTTTATGACTTTTCCTAGTTTTCATAGGCCGGTGGGATAGTCAGTCATACACCTCCAGGGTCCTTATTCTACGAAGGTGCTTCATCGTCATCATCTCCTCATGTACCTACGCAAGACGACGACAACGACGACGACGACGATGACGACGACGACGACGACGACGACGATGGTGATGATGATGACAGCGAGGAGTCAGAACCAGTGATACGAAGAAATCCTCCTCGAGACCGACAGCCACCGCCCTGCGAAACACATTCGCGTCGCAGGCATCGATAGATTTTGTTTTTTTATTATATTTGTATTTACTTTATTTTGTTAAATTGTAATTTTTTATTATTTCTCATTTAATACTTACTTTATTTTGTTTTTTAATGTATTTCAGTTCATTTTTTTATTACCATTTAATATCAGTTATTGTAATTTGGTTATCATTTACCATTTAATACTTATTGTTATCAGTTTGTTAAAATTTAATGATTGTGTTTGTTTTTTTAATCTTCATCGGTGATTATCAAATGACATTAACTTGAAGTAAATGCAAATTAAAAGTAGAAGAATTATTATTTGATAATAAAATACATCATTTCCTCATCAATTGTTACTTGATGACAACAGAAGTGGACATGTTTTTCTAGTGTGTCCTGGGTTTCTACAATGACCACATCTTCTATCTTGTCTAGATCTTTCTCTAATATCCATATCGCAATGAATTCAATTGGATTTTGGATGACCACGCTCCCTCAATAAACTCGAATTTGGTACAATCGGAAGCCAATCTTGAACCTCATCAGGGTTTTTTCATTACCTATAGGGGGAAACTCAAATTCGTATACCTTAAAACCTTCAGATAGTATGTATACGGGATCCACAAAATGGCTATAGTCTTGATGTGTATGCGAGCAAGCTGCTATCACATGAGAGCATGGATACTTCAGAGCTTGAAAAAACCCGCATTCGCACGTTCTGTCCCTTAGATTTACTCTTAACGACACAACTTCAATCCCTTGAAGAGGTAGCGGTAACTCTGTGACACGAAACATTTCATGCCTTCTAGAGAAGCTTGTTACAGACATTCCATTTGATGCAACAATTTTTTTCTGTAGATCTGCAACTAATCTAGGGTGATAGACATGACGCCTTGCATCCAGGTTTGAGCTTGTCCCCCGAGTTTCACAAAAAGCGCCCCCAAACAAAAATATGTAGTCTTTACCAAAGCCGCTACAGGTAAGTGACGTGCACCCTTTAAGGTTGAATTGATTGCCTCTTCCAAGTTGGTCGTCATGTGTCCATATCGATATCCACCATCATATGCGTTCGTCCACATTTCTTTATCGATGAGGCTGATGTAATCATATTCTTCCTCGTTCTTCGTCCGCAACTCTTGAAACATTGATTCAAACGTTCGAGGAAGTAGTTCATAACCTGATCAAAAAAATATATAACTTACTAACTTGTTGTCTTTGCAAAATTAAAACGATCGAAAGATAACAAACTTGCTAAGTTTCACTTACCTATGTGCACAATTAATTGACGCTCATCATTCTTCTTGTACCTTCCATGGTAGTTCGCAGCAATGTGTCGAAGATAATACCTATATTGGACAAAGGGTGGTTGCCACATTGGACCCAAAGACTCCATTGCTGCTTTGATCCCAGCTTCGCGATCTGAAATGACACAGATGTTTTCCCTCTTGATAACATGTGCACGTAAATTTCAGAGGAAAAAAGCCCAAGAAGCTGTATCTTCTCCTTCGACAAGAGCAAAAGCAACTGGAAGAATGTTGCGATTACCATCTTGGACAACTGCCAATAATAAAACTTGCTTGTATTTTCCATACAAGAAAGTCTCGTCGATCTGGACCATAGGCTTGCAGAATTTGACAGCAGTAACGCACTGTGGGTAACTCCAAAAAACCCGGTAGAATTGGCATCGATCGCGAAGAACTCGATCATTATGGTATGCATAGGAGGTTTCGAAGTCCACAATTTTCCCAGGATTCAACGTTCGCACCAGGCTAAACCAACCTGGAAGTTCGTTGTAAGATGCATCACATTCGCCATGAAGTTTGACAATGGCATTTTGTTTTGCCAACCAAGCTTTTTTATAGGAGACACCGTACCCATACTGCGATTGTATAGCTCAAATCAACACTGCAACAGCTATATGAGAGCTTGCTTTGACCATGGGATTGATGGCTTGGCATATCACTTCAGAGTCCAAGTTGGGATGATCTTGGTTGACCCCTCCAGCACAACATGTGTGAGGACCGTTGTATACTGTTAGTACCCATCTGTTGTTTTTCCTCTTCCTTTTTGATACGCGAACCATCCAATTGCATCCGTTTTCGCGCTGGGCACAGTAGCATACATATTTTTCGGTCGTGGAGCGGTATACTCTGGACTGAACAGAATTACGAATATTGTAATTTTTGATAGCCATCATCGCTTCTTCTTTGCTTGAAAACTCCATGCCTAAAGATAACTCACCATTATTTATTGACGAGTAATACCCATAGTCACCGAGATGAGGCATATCCACAAATTATGGCCCGTATATTGCACCATAATCAACTTCATACATGTGTGCAGGAGGGTCAGTTTGTGCCACATTTCCTGGAACTTCATCATCATCGGAGTTGAATTGTGGTGATTCTGGGTCAATGAACAGTCCAGTCTCAACATCATCCGCACCAAGCTCACAAAGCGGTTCTTCTGGTGGAGATGATGGTTCCTCCATGCTCTCCACATTTAGGTCAAAGAACCTACTACTTGCACGTCTTCCCCTTGAACTGGAAGGCATATCGACATTGAGATCGAAAAAGCTCGCAGTCGAATGCCTCCCCCTAGACCTTGAAGCCATCGCGTCAAATGGAAACTGCACAGATGGTTGCATCGATGGCATCTCCATATTAAGGTCAAAGGGATTTGCAGATGAATGCCTTCCCCTTGAACTGGACGCAATGTTTCCATACGGATTGTTCATCGACCTACCTTGGTACATATCGTAAGGAGTTGCGGATGAATGTCTCCCCATTATGGCATTAAAATCATTACACATTACTTTCGTCGGGCTGTCAACTTGTTCAGTCAGCCCATAGTGGGAGCTTAATGATTGACCCCGAACAACACACACTTGAACAAAATGTGCATACATCTCAATAGCAGTGTCTGAATAATTACTTTGAGCTTCAACCATCATTTCAACATCATCATTATTCGAAAGTTCGAACGCTGTATAAGTTAATGGCAACAATGATGTTAGAAATCTATACTGCAACGACAACACTCTTCTATTACTTCCAACATGAATTTTCCTCGAAATCTTCGTTATAAGCTCCTCAAGAGTTATGTTTCTCTTGAATTATATTTTAACACGCTCATTTGATACGAAAACAACGCCGGTTTCATCTTCTCGAATTTCACCATCATAATAAATAATAGCTGAAAGTCGCGCCATTATTTGAGTTTAAAAGTGCGGCACTATTATATCTGGAAAAAAATGAAACAAACCTGATTTAATAAATTATATATGAACGAACATATAACACAATAAAATTTTTACACATCAACGTAAATAAATTAAATAATATAATTTAATATTATTACCTGCACCGCAAAATTATTTCGACGTATGCTCCCGCTTTCCAATTTTACAAACACAAAATTAATTGAAAATAATTAGTATAATATTTTTTTTTCAAATAATCATAATAAACAATAAATAAAAAAATTATAACAAAATTACCTTATAACGAAAAATCGAACGAATTTCTAAATAAAATATGAGAAAATTGCCAGAATTATTGACTCGTTGACGGAATTGTTGTATTAATTTATAAGTTGAGAGGAGAGATGTGAGAAATTAACCGAAGGAGAATGGTATTTATAGCGGGGAAAGTTATACAAAACGCGGTACCTGCCCCGCGCTATATAAAATTATGTCAGGAGTAAAGGTATGTCGCGGTACCTGCCCCGCGCTATATAAAATTATTAGGAGTAAAGGTATAGCACGGTACCTGATCCGCGCTATACCCCTACGTGGTGTATAGCGCGCTGCAGGTGCCACGCTATACCCACGTGGCACCAGCTCACCGTATAGTGTGGTGCAGGGGGCGCGCTATACCCCATGTGGCGCCAAATCATCGTATAGCGCGATGCAGGGGGAGCGCTTTACTGCTAAGGGTGTTAGATCGGGAAATATAGTCTGACCGGTGTTAGATCGGTAATATTACCGGTCACCGGTGATATATCGGGAAAATCGCCTAAATGAGGTGGGGCCTTGCTTTTATGAAATTAATAATTTTGGTATTTTCTAGGATTGCCAACTCATCAAACCAAGTGAAGAAAACACAAATCAACTTGGACCATTGATGAGCTTTGATCCAAGGGCCCTTATTCCTAGCCACTTCATCCATCCAAGTCAAACAAACACAAATCACTTAGAGCCCTTGGTTGAAGGCTTGATCCTAAGGCTCCCGTCACGCCACATCATCGATCCATAGGAGAAAACACATAGTGTTTTAAGCCATTAGATCTACTTTGATCCAAGGGTGGGAAGGTTGGATCATCATCATAAGCTAAAACGGGCTTATTATCATTTTGTTTCATTTCTCAGTTTTGAGAGAGAGAGAGAGAGAGAGGGAGGGAGATACAACCGGCGCCCAGATTCTGGTGGTTTTCCGCCGCGTCATCAACGGCCACCACCGTACGCCGGCGTTGGAATTAAAAGAGAGATGTCACCCGAAGTGTTTCCTCACCCTTGTTTCAGATCCAAGGTTAGTTTTGCCTAAAAATGTGTCTATTAACGTAGATCTACGAAGAAAGCTTCAATTTTTTTCGTCTCCGACGATTTTGGAAAGACCTGAACACGTTCGTACGAATCGTATAAGCTTTCGTACCAAATCGCGATTTTGGAACGACTGGAACGCGTTTGTACCGCGTTTTGGATCGCAGCGTTCAATACGTAGATTGTGGGCTATTGAGTGATTTATGTAACTATGGTTCCATTTCATTTTTAATTCCAGAAACACCCGCATAACTGCTTTTCTTAAACAATTTTTGTTTCTTCAAAGTCCTCCATTTTGTAGAATTTACAAGGCTATTATTGACTCGGTTAACCCAAAAGCATAATTTTTAAATATACCTTTACCATTATTCTGTATGTTTTCCTTTATGCCATTCCTCTTAGGTATTGTATCCCTTTTGGTGCAATGCATATTCTACAGGTAGTTCCGGGACAGTGGCTATCACATTTGTTCTTGTCATCTGCCTGCACCAAATTGATCTAAAATAGTATGCATGTATTCAACTGATGCCCTTCGTTCCCACTGTAAATTCTGTGAGGAGTGTCCCTTTATTGGAGCAAGCAGTGGTTCTCTGAGTTTATAAGAGTTTTTATCATTTCTTCCATGTTGTTCATGGTCTTAACTCCTCTCTTTAAAGATCTTCTCTTTCGCTCGAGGGCAACCATTGCTTTTTATCATGTATTATAGAAGTTGTATATCGATGACAACATTAATGTATAGATGATAGAACTTAATTTCTCGCTACAAACAATGAAGTTTATCAGCGCAAATAGATGAATAATTGTAGTTCTGTTACTCTTCTCCTGAAGTTTGATTTGAAAAACATGATATGAAATTGGAAATTTGAATCTGGACAATATTTCAAATCCTGGACACCTAGCTGATCCAAGAAGGGGACAATTTATGACAAGTGATGGTTCACTTTTACGTGACTTTATTTTCATGAACACATCAATCACCCAAGATGCATAGTTGGTACATACAGATGAACATGGAAAACCATGTTTCATTTGACAACCAATGCACATTGAAAGCTATCTTTTATTCAGGTTATTTACAATGTGATGGAAGAAATTAGGTAGAGTTACAAGGATAGGGCCTAACAAAAAATTGAGGGAATAATGGGATTGAATCATATTGTAACTGCATAGTTGGTACATACGGATGAAGTTTAGATTATTACCCATTTCTAAATGAGGGGATCTTTGTCACTGTGTAATGATTTGAAACGTATACAACTATACATGATATATAAATCAGATTTGACAGTAGCTTAGGATGTTAAATTTCTGCATTATTTGCATTCTCTTTGGGAACTAAAAAAAACCGTTCTTTTCCTAGATTGCTTCATCTGTAACTATATATTCATTTTGCAAAGGGACCATTGATCAAATTGGTAATATTTAACAGTGCTAGGCCTCCTCTTCCAGATACTGGTCAATGGTTGCTTCTGGCTCTAAATGAGAAACTTCCTGAAGCAGTTGTTGAGATACTGAGACCTCACATTATTGGCTTGCACCATTACTTGATGTTATTTATAATGTTGGCCTTCTCTGTACTATTTGACTCTGTGAAAGCTCCTGGTCTTGGGTTAGGCGCACGATACATGTTTACCATGGCAGTTGGCCGTCTTTTTCGTGCAATAACTTTTGCATCTACAATTCTGCCATCACCCCGCCCATGGTGTGCTTCATCTCGCTATGGTATCATCCCTCAACATCCTCATCGTTGGGCTCAGAAATATTATGCTCCTTATGCTGCTGATACTTATGCCATTCGTCAAGTAATAGAACGGGATATAGCATATGGTAACTTATATATTTATATTTCGATGCCTGTAAGCTATTGTTTAATTGTTATTTTTATATGTTTGTTACTTGTCTCTAGAAGTTTGTATTAAACGTTCCTCTTCTTTGCAGTTGATACTAGAAACTACACTGTGGACTACCATCCGGATTGGGGCTCAATGAGCTTCCTATTAGATTTTCTGCGACCCACCACATCAGAAGGATCTTCATGGTACAGTCTGCTTAAAATGGCTGGGGGCGGTTGCAATGACCTTGTATACAGTGGCCACATGCTTGTTGCTGTACACACTGCTATGGCATGGACGGTACTGTTATTATACATTTGGAACCGACTATCTATTCTTCTAATGGCTGTTGTCAAATCACAAATGATCAAGTCATATTGACCTTTCAACATCTTAAATTGCAGGAGGCTTATGGTGGGTATAGCTCAGCTCTTATATGGCTGCTTGTTATGCACAGCGCCCAGCGAGAAGTACGAGAGCGCCACTATTATTCCGTAGATTGTTTAGTTTCCATCTATGTGGGTATTCTTCTTTGGAAGATGACTGGTTTTATCTGGTCAGCTAAAGGTGGAACTAGAGATAGTAGACTCACTAAGCTTAGGAAAATTCAAGGTAGACTTTTGCAAGCGGCCAAGGATTCTGATATGGATGAAGTAAGGGAGCTTCTCAAAGATGTTGAGTTGGGGAATCAAGAGGGCCAGAAACAAGGACCAAGCAAGGTTATGTGGTTGTTTGCTTGTGGGACTATTTTATTTTCGCTTACAATTGTTATTTTGGCCTTCACATGGACAAGCGATGGCTGACGTTCCAGCATAACATTATACCTCGGTTTCGAGGTTGGAGAAGACTGGTGTGTACGATTTAGTTTCCTCTTTGACTGAGGGCTTATATCGTTGTATTCTTTCACGCTTTTTACTCTGTTATGACAGGCGAGGATTTTGTCTTTGATTGTGTGTACACATGGAACTAGAGTTTTACTGTTACATATGAAACTTGGTTGTACTATCTGGTAATGGAAGCCGATGTTTAGCTTGACTCGGCCTTGCTTTATCTTGTTGTAAGAGCTGTTGCCTTCACTCTCCATTGATTTATGAATTTTGCTTAGTAACTTTGTGTGATGAATCTTGCACGTTTTCTCATTTGAGTGTTAGAAATAGAAAACCTATTTGGACATTTATATTATGCCGAGATAATATATACGGATTTAGTCGAAAAGACTTTTTCACTTGGAAATAAAGTATTCTTCCATTGGCACTAAGGATGCACTAGTAATTGCAAAGTTTAAAATCGGACCGAATTTGATTACTTTCTTTTATGTGCTTCACTTAGATTCTAAGTCATTACTTTCTTGGGTAAAGTACACAAATGATCCCCTGACAATAGGATACTACTTTGTTGAGTCCCTCGATTATTAACAGTTACAAAATAGTCACCCGACTATTTATTATGTTTCAAATTCATCATTTTCCGTTAAAAAAATTAACGATAGTTTGAGCTGGATGTTAAGATTTTGATCGATATATGATAAAATTTGATCTCATAATTTCAAACGACTATCATATCTCGATCAGCATGTTAACGTCCAACTCAAACGATCGTTATTTTTTTAACAAAAAAGGACGAGTTTGAAACATAATGAAAAGTTGGGTGATTATTTTATAACTTCTAATAGTTGAGGAACACAAAAAAAACAACTCCTTATAGTCGGGGACCATTTTGTAACTTTTAATAGTCGGGAGATCATTTTGTAACTTTTAATAATCGAAAGACTCAACAAAATATTATCCTATAGTTAGGGGACCATTTGTGTACTTTACCCTACTTTCTTTTGCTATCAACCTTGATTTATAACTAATTAAATCTCTCCATGTTACTTTTATTTTATGTGGTTCTTAGCTCTAATTAGACTTGTATGCTCTTCATCTTGCTACATCAATTTGGATTCGTTTTAACCCATTCTCACATTAACGGAGATGATTGCGAACTTATTTGGATTCGTTTCTCTTATAAAGGAATTTGTAAGATGTTCACACACTGCGGTATTATTGATCACTCTAGACCTACTCGCCCTTTAAGATTTAATGTTGTTGAACACCTTCTCCAAGAGCAATAGCTCATTTCTATCCATGAGAGGTTGGGTGATCAAGCTTGAATTAGAGACGTGAAATCAAATAATCGTTTAGGTTTCAAGTCGGATCATATTTAGTCAGATCATGTCAGGTCAGGTTTAATTGAATACGGGTTATGTCAGATCAATTCAATAATTTGACCCGGATCAGGTCGGGTCCATGTTAACTCAAGTTTGGGTCATTTCAGGTTAATTTGAAATCATATTCAGTTCTGGTTTGGATTAGGTTAATTTCAGTTCGAATCAATATCAATTCAGGTCAAAACGATTCAGGTCTGAATCAGTTAAATAGCAGGTTAATCCAGGTTTGAATAGACTTCAGGTCAGATCTCATTTAGATCGGATCACATCATTGACAAATAAAATTCAGATTGGATCTTACCAGGTATGGATGGACTTCAGGTAGGGTCATTTTCGGGTGAATTATTTTCCACCTTTCATGAACACCAATTTGTAATGTATAATTGTATAGAGTTTGAAGTAAATTTAAAAATTAGAAGTAATTATGGGTCAATTTTAGACAACATAATTTTAAGAACTAAATTAAATAAACACGAAATTATAAACTAAAATTTAAATAAATTAAACAATAAGTAGGGATCAAATCGAAATAATTTTAAAATGCAAAACTGAAATTAATATAAAAAATTGAGTAAATTTCATTCGAAATAGAAGTTTATATGGTTTGGAGGTTATGATATAATTTATAGAGTTTAAAATTAAGTTTATGATGTGATTTATAGAGTTTGAAGTAAATTACAAAAAATATAAATAATTATGGGCTAATTTAGGATAAAAATATATTTTTAAGGATTAAATTGAACAAACATGAAATTACAAATTGAAATTTAAATAAATTAAACAATACATAGGGATCAAATTGAAACAATTACAAAATTTAAAGCTAAAATTAATATCAAATAGGACTAAAATGCATTCATTTTAAAAGTTGGTGAACAAAAGTTTATAAGGTTTCGAGATTATTATAATTTATAGGGCTTGAAGTGAAATTTATGATGTGATTTATAGGATTTGGAGTAAATTACAAAAGATAGAAATAATTATGGGTCAACTCCGGATAAAAATAAAAATTTAAGGACTAAATTGAACAAACATGAAACTTAAATAAATTAAACAACACACATAAATCAAATTGAAACAATTTTACAATATAAAACTGAAATTAATATCAAATTAGACTAAATTAAATTTATTTTAAAAGTTAACGAACAAAAATTTAATATCTTAATCAATATTTTTATTTAGAAAATATTATAAAGATATATTAATGCATGAATGTATGCATGATATGTATGTATGTATGTATTATGTAGAACATACATGTATGTATGATGCATGTAGAACATTTATGCATATATGTATAATGTATGCATGTATGTATGTATGTATGTATGTATGTATGTATGTATGTATACATGTAAAACATGTATGCATGTATATATAATGTATGTATGTTATAGATGTATGTATGCATATCATATGTACATACATGCATCAATAACATACATGCATCAATAACATACATATATACAAACATGTATACATCAAAACATACATTAATAGATACATGCATTAATAAATTATATATACATGGGCCAATTGCGATAAAAATTTATAGAGTTTGGAGATTATGATATTATATGATTTAGAGTTTATGATATAATTTATTGAGTTTAAACTAAATTATAAAAAAATAGAAATAAATATGGGCCAATTGTGAATAAAAATATAATTTTAAAGAATAAAATGAACAAAAATTATAAAGATCAATTTACTCATAAACTTTGACTAAATGTTAATGTATCTAACATATAAAGTATAAACTTTGATTTAATATAATTATACACAAAACAATTTATTAAAATTTTAAAATGAAAAAATTATCTCTTCTCTTTTTTTTTATAGTTTTATTGAATTTTTAAAATAAAATCTTCTCTCTTCACTCTTCCCTTCCTAGTTTTTAAAAATTTAATGAAATTTTAAAAAGACTTGATACAAAAAATAATCCCCAATATTTACTAAAATTATCATTTTGGTCCATATTATTTTTTTGGAGCATTTTAGCCCCCAAGTTTCTCTTTGGGACAAAAAGCTCTCTCTATAGATGAAAATCATTAGTCACACAAGATTAACACTCTAAAATGGAAGCTTTTTTTAACCTAAAATGAATCATTATAAAAAGAATAAGAAAGAGTGATTATTATATCAAATATTATGGGCCTTTTTGCCCTAAATGAAACATTAGCGGGCCAAAATGCTCCAAAAAATAGAATAGGCGTAAAACAACAATTTTGATAAACATGAGGAAGGGGCTAATTTTAACATTATGCTTTTTAAAAATGAAAACATACCCTATTCTCTTTTCTCTATCTAGTTTTTAAAATTTTAGTGAATTTTTAAAATGGAAATCTTCTATTATATATTCCCTCCCTATATCATTAATAATAATTTAATTTATTGATATTTTAAAATCATTTTATATAATATAATGATAATCTAATAAAATTAATAATTAACAATGAACGGTTTAACAAAAATAATTTAAATAAAGTTTAAAATTATTATTATTAGTGGTATAAAAAATATAAGCAATTTATTTATTACAATTTACACATATAGAAATCAAATATTTTTTAATCTAATGATCTTAATTAAACTTATTTTTCTAATGGCCTTAGTTAATTATGTATCTTAGAAAGTAAAGAATTATTTTTTAACATATTTAACAACCATAAATTACTAATTTGATTAAAATTTTGAATATACTTATATATTATATAATAAAATAATTTTATTAATATAATGATTGTAATTAATCATGTGCTTTAAATGATGAAGAATTATTTTGTCATATGTCATATTATAATATCAGTTGTCAGTTTAAAGTTTACAACTTACAAATCAAATAAATATCAAGTTATATATATATATATATATAAGTTAAATTATTAATCAAATTATTATATTATAATAATGATATATAATTATTGATATTTAAAATCATTTATATAATCTAATAAAATTAATAATCAATATATAAATCATTAAATAAAATTAATTTAATGGTCATAATCAGATTTTTTAATCTCATGATCATAATTAATATACAAATCAAATTTATTAATCTAATGATCATATTTAATATAAAAATAAATTTATTAATCTAATAATCATAATTAAATTTATTGATCTAATGATTATAATTAATAATTTTTTAAATTGCGAAGAATTCTTTTTATTAACTTTATCAATCATAAGTTATTGATTTAATAGAACTTTTAAGTATATTTGTAGATTACAATTTATAAATATAAGAAGTGAACATATTAATTTAACGATCATAGTTAATCATGTACCTTAAATAGTGAAGAATTATTTTCTCACACTATATTATCATAAATTCATAATCTCACAAATTCATCAATTGCAACTTACAAGTTAAGTAAACACCAAGTATGTAACACTCATTACCCGTATACGTTACCGAATACGAGTCCAATGTTCTACATGATACTTTTAAAACTTTCCTTATTCGAAAATTAGTAAAAATTTTTTTTTAAATAATTTATCTATTTAGTTTACAAAATTCAATTTACCGAAATACAAGATAACTAACTATTTTATAACTAGTAATTATATTATGTTCTATAATTTAGAGTTAAACATACTCAGTTGGTATGTTACTTAGCCTATTATACATATGTTGATATAAGACGAATCTACACTCTTCAAGGTAAGTGAATAGATAGCCTTATTGTTGTCTTGATCTAGGAATGACAAGTAGTAATTCCCTTCAATTATAAGTATGGTTGCAACAAGGAAGATAAATAGATAGTATTAGTAATGGTATAAGAAATAGATAAGTAAAATAAGTAATGGAATAAGAATAAGAAAAGAGATGGCTGCGGAAATATAGATGATAATGTTGGTGGCCTTCAATGGAAGATGGTTGATGATGTTAAAGTTGTAT